CAACAGTATGACGTAGGCTTCCTCTACGATAGGGTGATATGATTTGCCTAACCAAAAGCAATGTAGTGTGTATATAAATATGTACGGGTACATGTATACACCCTGCGAGCAAACTGGAAGAACAAGGAATGCATAATGACAGCGGTTGCCCCAGGTACGGACAGACGTCTTGCGAGACCTCGCCGTCCCGCGGTGCACGGGGCAGCTTGCTGGCGCCAAATGGCTAAGTTCTGGGCACATTTGACTAGAAACTTCTATCAACAGAAGTTCAGGATTTACGGTAGTTATGGGTCTAGCAGTTGATGGGACTGCACTTAGCCTGATTCTTCGGGTGCCTTTGCCAGGAAATGTGTAGGCTGAGGCAGCCATCAGCCCTACGACCTTCACCCTACACTCTACCTAGATTCTCCACAGTAGTTCCTTCTTATGGTCCATATTTAGAATCCTTCAGGTAATCCCAACAAGGAGCTAGCCTATGGGTACAGCCCTTCTAGCCCTGCATGGTGAAATGGACCCTGAAGCCGGACAGCCGCACAAAGCCCTAAGCCCGAAAGCCTTGAGACCGTCATAGGGATCCTTAGGGGTGTAGGGGGAGGGGGGGGTAGGGGGCCTTAAGGCCCATAATAAGGACTAATAAGGCCTATTTGAGGAAATATAGTCCCCTACACCCTCCCCCCTACATCCCTAAGGATCCCTATGAGACCTTGAAGGCCCCCCGACCTGAAAGCATAACTCCGAACAAATCCTAATGTAGGGGTCTTTTAGAAATATGGTTATGGGTATACTATACTGTATTTATAATAGGGAACCCCCAAAATAGTACAGGAAATTATTTCGGCCCCTATATTAATCCTACATCCTATAGACTATAGACCCTCAAATCCATGGCCATCGTGCCCAAACAGCTCACGCAGGGGTGTTGAACTGCAGTGACTCCGACAAGGAAGGCGGCTCCTCTGTTGAGTAGGTTTTTTGGGTTCCCAGAGACTCCAATATCCCTTAATTAAGGAATATACCTTAAATCATATAAGGGATCCTACCATAATTTAAGGAATTTTCCTTAATTAAGGGATATTGGAGTCTCTGGGTTGTGAGGGGCTTTATAGAGCTTCGGGCTTGGAGGCTTTGTAGTGCTTGGTAGGGCTTTGTAGGGTCGGTTGCAGAGGGTAACATAGGGGCCATAATAATTAGAATACGACTTTGGGCATCTTATGCTATACTTATAATACGGAACCCTCCAGAATAGTATGGGTAGTCATGTCAACCTCTCTTCTTCAACAACCGGCCCCCCAAAAGTTCAAACTTTCTGAGATAGAGCTAATATATAAGGCCAAAAAGTTTAAAGTTCCCCCGTTCACTATCTAAGAAACCCCAAATTAGCGTTCGAGAGGGCTTTAAGGCTCCGGTTTGTGATTTCGGTGTCTCGAGGCTTCCCCTGCTCCCAAAGGATCCTAGGTCCCCTTATCTACTGCTGATGGCCAAAATCCTGCAGGACCCTAAGGACTCTAAACTATGGGAACTATGGTATAGTGCTTATAATGGGTAATGCAGGATGTTGTCCATCAACAGTATGGGCGAATACTTTCCCAAGTCATACGACCCTAGGGATCTAAGGACTCATATATTAAGGCTTTTGGGAACAAAGACCATAACATGTACGGCTTTTGGGCGATTTTGAGCCCCAGGACTAGTGATTCCTGGTCCGGAAACCCTACCTTCTACAATGAAACAACTTGGAGGATCATGGGACTTAGTAAGTCAGGATATATGTACCTAACGTGGGCTTATAAGTGCTTATAAGTATAGTTACCATATTTCAAACCCCAGCTACTAAGTCGCATGATCCTTTAAGTAGTACCATAGACCTCCAGACCCCCATGTGGGAGTTTCCGAAAATTAGGGGGTACCTTATTTTGGGGTCCCTATAATAAGGATCCTACTCTCTAGGGAAGTACTTAGGACCCTTTGAGGCTTATGAGGCTCGAGGCAAAGAGCCTTCCCAGTGGTAGAGTCCGGGGCGCGGTTCGGATCAGGGTGAGGATTCGGATTCCGGGTTCAGGGCTTACTTGGAGGTTCATGGGTAGTTATAAGTAGGACTATAAGTCCCCTAATAGGGCTGACAACTATAGTTACCCTACTTATAACCCTACTTGTAGCTCCTCAAGAACCTCCAAGTAGGGTTTTGGGCTTGTTTTCTGAGCTCCTTTTCTCCAGTGCCCCGAAAGGTCCGAGAGGCCAAGACGGCCAGGACAGCTTCAACCTGCAGGCCTCAAGGCTCTGATTGGAGGATCATGGGACTTAGTACGTCAGGATACAAGTAGAGTTATAAGTACCCTCAATGGAGTTACTATAGGGTTCTATAAGGGTCTATAGGGGTTCTATAAGGAGGATCATGGGACTTAGTAAGTCAGGTCATAAGTACCTTAATTGGGGTTATAAGTGGTAATGAATACAGTTACCCTAATGATAACCCTAGTTACTAAGTCCCATGATCCTTTAAGTAGCCTGTGTCGCCCGCTTGGCTTTCCGCCGTCGAGTTTTGAGTTTCGGGTTTGGGCACATGGAGTAAGTGCCTTTCGGCACTCGTTCTCCGCGCGAGGTTCAAGCGACTCACGACCGAATAACGAAAATCTAGACTCAATGTTGAGAGAGGGCAACTGAAAAACATCCTGATCGCCAAACTCGAACGGCGGAGTTGAGACCTGAGACTTTTCATGCCGCGCTCTCAGTCTTTTGACCACACGCGCCCAGAATCGCAAGCTTGCCCTCCGGCGTTTGAGGAAGGAGAGACCCATCCTGACATTTTCATTTTTGCCCTGGTACTTCGAACAGGCTTTTGGGGCTCCCTTTCCCTCTTTAACCTTAAACCCTCTGTTCGCGGGATATCTAGTTGCGGTATGCATACTGACGGCCGGGCGGCTGGTGATACTATGCCAAAACTATGCAGGCTCTGCAGACCCATAGTTGCTCTACGACCTCATGATCCTGAGATGTCCTCATGTTCGGAACCGCACCACTAGACCACTGATACAGGGGCGAATAGGGATCTGGGGATATATTGTATAATGTAGGAAAACTACATTACATGAAGGAACCCTAAGGCACAATATCGGCAATTCTGCAAGCTGTTATACTAATCCTCCATTTCCTTTGCCTGGGTCCTGCTGGCGATCGCTGATTGACTTCCACGAGACCCTGAGGCTCCAAAGCAGACCCGAAAGCCTAGCGCCCTAGCACGGTCCTTGGGCCCTAAACCCTAAACCCTAAACCACCTTGAAGCCTTAAACAATGTAAAGTCCTTAGGGCCTTGGGGTGTATGTCCCTGTTGCACATGAAAACTTACTTGACTCTCGTCCAGCGACGGAAAATGCAGCCTCAAGGAAGAAATCTTGCAGCTGCTATGGGGCGCGAATGCACCGCCTCTCTGACTTCTTTGCCTTGTCTTGTGCCAAAGCTATGTCCATCCTTATTGGCAGGATCTGGGGCCTAGTTTAGACCGTCCCTTGCAAGGCTGCTCCTTCAAGTGGTACCCGCGGCCACCTACTACCAGTAGAGCGCTACAGTTCCGAAGAGCTTCGTGATGTAAGCAAGACGGTTTCGGTACTCACGCTCGGACAAGCAAGAAGAGGGTTTAGGGTTGCGGAGCAGGAAAAACAGGGGGGTCTAGGGTTCGGGGTGTAAGTAAGACTAACCCATAGGCCTGACAGATAGGGTTCTATATATGAACCCCAAAAAGGAACTGCTATGGGGCTTCTGGGCAGGGTTCAGGGGTAAGTAAGATTTAGGGTCCAGGGTAATGTAGGAACCTGATTAAGAAACCTTCGGCCTTTATTAGCGTTCCTGTTATGAGTTATGAACCCTACTAACCCTAAACCCTAAACCCTAAACCGTGGGGGTCATAGGCTTATGGGTGCAAGGGGGAGTTCACAACCTCGGGGCCTTTTAACCGTTGCCAAAGCGACCTCCGATGCTCTGACGACGCTGCCGATGGTCCAAGGGGGGTTCTAGCATTACTGTTGTTGCTGTTATGAGCTAGATTGCAGTTCTTTACGATTTTCAGTATGAACTATAGTTTATGATGCGGAACTTTTGCTTGCTTGAACAGAAGATCGCAGTGGTACGCTCAATCCTCTGGTGAATGCTGCAACACTGGCAGAGGCGGAGGCCGCAGGTTCGACTTTACCCTGCAGCGGCCGAATAGAGGTGTTCAGGGTCCGATGGCAATGGTGCTTGAAACAGTGAAAATTGCTCTTGCGTCCCCATCAACAAGCCACAGAAAGGTTAAACTTTCAGGTTACTATTAAACTATATAAGAACCCAAAAAGTTTAAAGGCTGGGTATTGGAGAACTGCGTGCCTGTGCAGGGACGAGCAGTCTGAAAGAAATTCTGTACATTGGGGCAGCTCCAGAGCAAAAAGTACTAAACCTCTTGCTACCTAGAGGCTCCATACTTGGAGGGGCAGGGGACTTAGTAAGTAGGTTATAAGTAGAGCTATAAGTACCCTAAATGGAGTTACCCCAATTATAACGCTACTTAAAAACGACTTGCTAGGTCCCCTGCCCTTCCAAGTACCCCATAGTAGTTCCTTTCGGTGGCTCATATATAGAATACAATAAGGTAATCAGGAAAAGGAACTACTATGGAGCCTATGGGTAGAGCCCAAAGCCCAAATCCTAACCCCAGGGCCCCTATACACCCTAAACCTTTTAAGCCGTAAAGCTCTGCGGTTGCAAGTGACATGGAGCTGGCGGTCCCCGCATGGCTGCCATCAAGCTGGCTATGCGGCTATGCTACTCCAGCACTCCAAAACTGAACACTTCCTTTGAGACCTTCTCTTGAAGGAAGGGCCCGCAGAACAAGAGTGAGCAGGAGGACACTGATCAGAAGCACCCCTAATCAGGTATATCATATCTAGCTGTCTGAGACCCAACGCATAGGGAAACCAGTTCATGCCCATGTGCGTGGTGCACAAAGCCCCAAACCCGCGGGACAACAAGCACTAAATGCTGAAGTCGTCTGCCGCGTGCAAAGCGCGGTAAGTGCCATCCAAGTCGGGCCTTCGACCCGCAACTGTGTGACGATCGGTGCCGAAGAGGCATCGCAACTGCAGTGCGAGGACCAGGAGAAGGACAACGAGGGGCATCAGACCAACTAGTCCTTGTTGAAAGCTTACATCGACCAGTCCGAACACTAATCCGCAGCAGAAGTAGCCGTAGCCGAAAGTCAAGAAGCCGCTGAGCGCCGCTAGCCTGTGCTGTTTTAAGTAACCGGGGAGAAAACACTATACACTTTTAATTCAAAATGGTTCCGTTTAAGTATGTTACCCCAAAGCCCAGTAGCATGAGCTGCAGCAGCTCTGATTGCACGGAGAAGGTCCGATTCAGCATCCGAAGAAAAACGGGGTAGAAGGTGGGCAAGATCAGCAAACTTATCGTCAGCCAGCTAAGCATGCCCGGCAGTAGGTAGTTATCAAAGGAGTTGAAGCCGTTGTAAGAAACGCATTCAGCGTCGCATTGGAGAATATCAGTCGCGGAGTAAAAGATCATGGGCAAAGAGGCCACCAGACACATACTGTAGGGCACATGTAGCTGGTCTCCCACACTTTCCATGACTGCTGAACGAAGCGGCCCTCGAATATAGTCATTAAAGGCGTCCAGTGCTCTTTCGTCAGTCTGGGTATAGGGCATGCTGTCGAGCATCGTCCATGACATCTCAGTGCCCTCGCTTTCGGAGAATGACCCCCGCGGCCGTACCTCGAAGAGGTTCGCCGTCTGAGAGTACTCGTCACTTCGCGTGGATGACGACAGCTGAGGCACCACCTCTTTCCCGTACCCGCTTGACCTAAAGAAGTGCTGGACCTGTTGCTCCACCAGGAGCCTGTCAGACTCCACTGCACACTCTGCAGCCCGACAGTCGAAGCAAGCCATCTGCTCCAACATCAACCCGTGGCTTCGCAGCTTTGCTCGGCATGCGATGGTCCATGGGATGGCCGCCGCGATGCCCAAAAGCGTGCCGCAGATCACGATGAAGACTGCCACGGTGACCAGCGGACCGAAAGCGGACTCAAGGAGGCGCCGTGGGAGAATGCCAGAAAACGTCCTTGAGGAGGTGAAGATCTCCTGAGGTACCTGGGGGCTTCCGAAAATGGGAGAACCTAGTACAGTAATTACCCGAAATAGTAGGGTCCTTATTATCAGGACCACAAAATAAGGTACCCCTAATTTTCGGAAAGTCCCACCAGGTTGACAAGAAGGTTCAAGCCTGTGGTGACCAAGAGGTTCAGCAAGAGGTCTGACAGCAGCCAGGGTGATAACTCCAGCGGTAGGAACTGCACCTGTTGCGCACCACCGTGCTTTGCAAAGGTGGCTAATTCCTTGGCTCCCAAGTAACGATGATGAAGATCTTCGTTTTTGCCGATACAGAGTTTGAATAAGCAAACCCCCGAATTACAAGCAAAAGTGGGACTACTGGAGCATCTGGATGCCAGCTGGCACCAGAGCCTTTGGAAGTACTCGTCGTCCCACAACACGAGCATCGAGGAAGACCGTGCGACAAAGACCGGAAGTGCCTGGATCTGACGCCGCTTGAACTCGTGATCTGTCTGGTGAATGCATGCCCGGTCCAGCCACATCGAAATCGGTCGAAACCGATGCACGGCATCCTGGCCAAAGAAGAAGACAAGCAGAAACACGGCAACGGGAAGGTAAACTACGATGGGCAGCAACAGGAGATTCCCTCCAAGGTTGCCTGCACCATGTGCCCAGAAGATCAAGGCTGCAGTAGCCAGCAACCAAGTGGTCACGGAGCATACCACAGCTGCCGTCATATTTAGGTATAGACACAATGCCAGGTACTTCGCCCAGCGTGCGGAGCCCCAGCGATGGCTTAGGAACACATCTACATGCTCAGCACAGGAAGTCGAAGCAAAAATTCGCGATCCTGCTTCCAGCACCTCTTGCTTGGTCGGAATCTTTTCTGGGCGGAAGCCACCGGAGCCAAGCAAACCTGGTATACCTTGGATGAAGATGGCCCCGCGCTTTGCCAGGATCTGTGGCACGGTGGTGGTTCGAAACAGGCCCTCCGCTCGCACAGCCTCGAACGACTCCGGTCGGCGTAAGCGGGCCATGCCACACTTTCGAGTTGCTGTTTTAACCGCACCTACACCGAAAACACTACAACTATGTATGAGACTACAAAGTACAAGGCTCGCCCTCTGCATGCAGTTTTCGGCTGGCGGTCTTGTGTTTGTAGGGCTTGACATCGGGGGCCAATGGCATCGTGCAATGCTGACGTGGAGTCGAGGTAGCACCGGTCCAGTTTAGGTCCAGCGCTCGAGCCATGTCTCAAATGGTAAAGGTTAGCTGATGTCTGCTTGTTGAGGGAGATCAAACAAAAAACACTGATGACCTACTGCAAGGTTGGGATGTAAGATAGGATCCGACAATCAAACAGCAAGCAATTAGTATTAATTGTAGTAATAGTAACAATAGTGGTAGTAATGACAATGTTAAGAAGAATCGAATAGTGAGTATCAATCAAAAGTTCTATCTAAGGTTCAGGGGCAAGGCATATGCTTGGAGCCCTTATCGACGAAGATCTCTAGGCCCATACCGCGCCGCCTGCCCGCTCGCACAGGCTTCCTGGATACCAAGGTCTGTAGAATAATGGCCTTTTATGGCTATTGGGGCCATTATGTTACCAACTTTCGGGGGTTTAGGTTGTAACTTAATCAACTACCATATCAGGTAAACTGTATCATCTGCAGCTTTGCATATCTTTTGTTTTGTGGAAAATGCACCTAGGCGTCTTTAACAGGAAACAAAATCGGTAACGGCGGGAGTAGAGGCACCAGCGGCACCACGAGGCACCGGGAACAAGCAGCAAGCGAGGCAGCAATAAAGGCCGTAATAACTAGAATAGGGATTTGGGGTGCATTATAGTATAATGATACTATAATGACACTGGGGAGCCGCCCAAATAGTATAGGTAAATATTTAGGCCCCTGTATTGCGTCCGAGTCCTGCAACTCCTGGTCAAGGTCCGTGGACATGTAGAGAATCTCACTCGTCAAGGAGTTGAGCCTTAGTCAGAGGCTCCATAGTCGTTCCTTTTGGGGGATTACCCCAGGCCGTAATCCCCTAAACCCTACACCCTAAACCCCTTGAATATGAATCCCAAACAGGAACTAGAGTATGGAGCCTCTAGGCAGTCACACATAGAGCTTCAGGCCTCCACATCGAACTCAAGATGTCTAACCCACAGGGTTCAGGTACCAATATCGTAGCTACTTTGGGGAAAAGCGGGCCCCAAAGGTATACACGATACTATTAGAAATGTCGGGCCCTGAGTCATAACGCTAGCTTTTGGAGGGAAAAGGGGAGTACAATCCACTGAACAGGCGCCCGGAATGGGCATTTATGGCTGATATACGGAGCCTTGACGACAAGTCCTTCAGTCAGGAATCCCATTGGTCATTGTTCATGCTGTCTCAGGCTCCTATATTAGCCAGCTTTGGTCTGTGGCTCCGGTTCTCCCAGGCCACCTGCTCTTGCAAAATCTGACACCAGGATTAGGGTCGAGGCCTTAGGCTTTACCTAAAGGCCCCAAAGTAGCTCCTTTTCGAGATTACCTTATAGGATTCCAAATATGAACCACAAAAAATGAACTACTAGGGGGCCTTATGGCAGGGTTTAGGGTTTAGGGTTTGGGGTTTAGGGTTTAGGGCTTAGGGTTCACAGACTCTGGCCGCTCACAAATCATGGCTAGCGGCTCAAACCTTCAGAGATCACGTGGACCAGCCGGCGGGACTGGTTGAAATAACTGAGGCCACCCTACCCCACCTGCCTGCCTATGTGACGCTCCTAAAAGACTGAAAGACTAAACCCGGATACGGCAGGCGGAACTTTGCTGCAGCCCAGCTTGATGCATTTCGCAGTTCATACGCCGTTGACAAGGATTGAACGGGTTGATGTGTATCAGAGAAGAAACCAAGAGCCCGGAAAGCCGACTACCCCGAACCACTATCCCTAGGGCTCCATGTACCCATATAGTATATACTTAGGCCTTAAAGTACCTATATAGGAACCCCTTTAAGGCTTTAAGTATCTACAAAAGGGTACATGGAGCCTTTCGGTATACCATGTTCAATGCGTTGCCAGAAATTCAAAACCAATACCTTCAGCCTCGGAAGCACACGTCCCTTCTGCAAGCCACTCTAAACCAAACAACGTCGACTGGTGCCCCTTCTTGACTATGTCGCACAGAAGGGCGCACGCTGAATGTAATGCAAGGAACACTTCCCCCAACCACCCGAAGCAATACACACCTCGTAAGCTCAACATCTCTTGCTCTCACTCTCTCTCTCTCTCTCTTTCTCTTTCTCCGTCGCTCATCAAAACCCCTGAACCCTGAACCTATTCCAAGTGGACCAGGGCTGGCACGCTCCGTCATCTAATCCCCGGCTTTGGAACTCAGAGGAATAGTCCTGGGTCCAGGGCTTACCGCGCGACTCAGGATTTACGGTTCAGGGCTTGGGGTTCAGGGAGATGACGATGATGACGACGACGATGTTGGTCATCGTCATCTAAACGATAGTAACAGCAAGGTGATCCGTGCTGCGGACTTGTGTGTGTGTGTGTGTGGACAATAGCTAGGTTCCAGAGATCTATGTAAGCGTGAGTTCTAAGTTGAAGCTTTGCGCTGTGGAATGCACGTGAAGATCTCGAGCTCTAAATGTATAGGAACCTGATTAAGAAACCTTGGACCTGTATTAGGGCTCCTTATACGAACCCTACTATTTTGGGATTATAGGCCCTGGTTTCTTAATCAGGCTCCTACATTATTATTCCGGGTCATTCCGCTGTTGGACTGGGCTTCCATAAATTGGGCAACTCCCAAACATGGCATCGCAGCGGGCGACCCCTTCATGATCAACAATATGGGAGTTTCCGAACATTACGGGTACCCGCACTTTGGGTCCTTACAATAAGGATCCTACGAATTATCTAGAAATTCAGGGTACTATCTTAGGGTCCCCTGTTCTCGGAAACTCCCATATACCTTCAAGCAACTGTTAGATTCCGCGATGATGTGAAGTACGTTCTCTGAGTGATACTCTCACACCAAAAGCCCTGTAACCCTCTAAACCCTCTAACCCCTTGTTTGAGTCACGGACTGGACCCTCTAAACCTAAAACCTTAAAACCCATCTTGAGTCACGGGCTGGGGCCGGTAACCCTAAAACCCTAAACCCCAAAACCAATAAACCCTAAGCCCTAAACAACCCTCTCTCTCTCTCTCTCTCTCTCTCTCTCTCTCTCTCTCTCTCTCACAGGCACTCGAAGCGTCAGGCCTGGCCCTAAACAACCGTAAGTCCCAAATCCTGTAACCGAAAAGCCGTAACGGTGAAAAGTGCTCTGGCCCTGGCGATGGAATACGGCGTTTCAGCCACCTTCTTGCGGTTCCTGGGCCCGTCGTAGGGTCCCCAGAGACTCCAATATTCCTTAATTAGGGAATATACCTTAACTCCATATTAAGGATCCTACTATAATTTATGAATATTCCTTATTAAGGGATATTGGAGTCTCTGGGTCTACCCTAAGGCCCCAAAGTAGTTCCTCTTTGGGGTTCGTATATAGAATCCTATAATGGTAATCCCAAAAAGGAACTACTTTGGGGCCTTAGGGTATTGATTCCTCCTACTTAGGGCCCTAGCGTTCTTCTTCCCTCCTACTTAGCAAGGACAAAGCCCGCATTGCAGGGTAGAGGGGGTTTACGCTCGCGCGACTCGGACTTGCCCGGGTTTCGGTTCCTCGGCCCGTACTTGGAGGATCATCGGGCTTAGTAAGCCAGGTTATAAGTACCTTAAGTGGGCTTATAAGTGCTTATAAGTAGAGTTACCTGATTTATAACCCCAGTTACTAAGTCCCATGATCCTTTAAGTAGACCCTAAAACGACTCTCATAGAACCCTTATAGATCCCATTGAAGGAGCCCTTTAAGGAACCCCAGTTACTAAGTCCCATGATCCTTTAAGTAGGGTTTGGGGTTTAGGCCCGGAATGTTCGCCCACCAGGGTCGGCATATCCTCTGTTTAGGGTTTTTTCCTGTTTGGGTTTAGGGTTTAGGGCTTCAGCTTTTCGGGTTAGGCTTTGGGGCTTGTGCATGGAGAGTTCTTGGACCATTGGATGATCTTGTGTCCGTCGTTAGGGTTCATGCCCAAAGGGTCCTATGTACCGATATAGTAGAATGAAGGGTTCCCATATTAGGAATTACTATTATGACTTAGGGAAGTATCCCCCATCACAACAGAACATAGGACCCTTTTAGGATGATAAGCTTAAGCACTTTGCTTCAGTTAGGCTCTGTGGCTGTGACTTTGTGTACACGAACTCTTCTGTTTACGATGCCAGGGCGTTGGGGCAGCGGGCTCCCGGGCAGGGAACAAACCAAACTCTGTCTGACAAGATCCTACATGCCACGAGCACAAACCAGTCAACCTCAAACTCGAAAATATCCTGACCCCAGCCAGCACTCGGAACAGGAGCCTTCAGCAGCAAGGGCTCAGCAAGAAAAGGGCTTCAAGACTTCCGGATTAGAGTTAATATTTAGTGGCTCGGTTTGCTGTCTAATCCTGGCACCTCAAAAGAGAGCACCTTCCTCGTAACCTATGTTCTTGCCCTCTTCGTATGGGAGTTTCAGCGAACCGAGTACCCCAACATGGACTTTACATGGTAGGATCCTTGTTGTCAGGACCCCTAAGTCAACCCCCCGAGCTTCAGACAAGAGACGCATCTCACCCTCTCTCTCTCTCTCTCTCTCTCTCTCTCTCTCTCTCTCTCTCTCTCTCTCTCTCTCTCTCTCTCTCTCTCTCTCTCTCTATCTATATATATATATATGTATATGTACATGTATATGTACCCCCCTCCCTCCGGGATCTGTTGTGTAGCATTCTTTGCTACTTAGATGACGAGTATGTATACTCAAACGCGCACAAAACAGCAACAAAGTAGGTCCCGGAGAAGGGGTGTAGCATGTGTGTACACACACACACACACACACATATATATATATATGTGTGTGTGTGTGTATATATACGTAAATATAAGTGTATATATATATATATGTAT